AGCAGTGCAGAACAGCTCGCCCTTTGTGCCTGCCCAAGCTCCTGTGCCTCAGCTCCTGCCCCTGGGTAGCAGGACCCTCTCCCCGCCCTCCTCCCAGATGCTCGGTCTCCGTGGCAGCCCAGCCATGGAGACAGCGCTTTCAGAGCCTGCCAGCCTGGCAGGGATGGCAGGGGGGGCAGTGGAGACGCTCCAGCCCAGCTCCCCTTTGTGTGTGTCCCTGCGTGGCTCGTGCTGGTGCCTTTGGATGCTGGTGCTGGATCAGGCTCCTGCTGGGACGCCCGTCATCGCCCCAGCGGGAGCTGCCGGTTGGGGAGGGATGTTCTGCACCCCTGCCTGCCCCTCTCTGTGTCCATCCATCCATCCTTCCACCTCCTGCCTGCCGCACTGGCTGCCTGGGAAGGTTTTCTTGGCAGGAGTGTTTGGCTGGGACTGTGCAGCTCTGTCCTGGCTCTCTGTTCCTTGTCACTGTCCCTTGGCAGGGAGCTGAGGGGTTGGTGAGGCTGTGGTCCTGCTGCCTTTCTCCTTCCTGGGGTGCCTGTGCTGAGCCTGGTGTGTTCATATGGGCAGGAGGGAGGTGAGCACTGAGCAGCTGCTGGCCTCAGGACAGGCTGTGTCCTCCCCGTGTCAGCTCTGGGCAGAGGGGGTCACCAGGGCCAGCGTGGGGCTGGCTGGCACAGACTGTCAGGGAGAGCTGGGGCTTAGGGCACTCCTGCCAGGTTGGGGGGTGGAAGGCAGCACCCTGCTGCTGAACTGCTGGGTAATTTTGGCTGCCACTTAACAATTAGGTTGTTAATTGTCACATAATATGTGTCATGGGCTCTCAGGAGGGCAGCAAGGCTCTCAGTGGGTGCCCCAGTCCTGCAGGCCAGGGCACCCCAATGCTTTTGCCTCTGCTCTGGGTCCCATTGGCTGGCACAAGCTGTCCTCAGGGCTGGTGGCTCATGACCAGGTGTGGAGCAGGCTGGCTGGCAGGTGGGGGAGCAGCTCCATCGTTCACAGGTTTGACTCTGACAGCATCATACCCAGTTCTTCTGGACCTGTGAGCAGGCAGCAAGTGGCCAGGGTCTTTTTGGTAGTGGTAGGGGCAAGGAGTGCCAGAACACACTCAGATGGTGACTTTACGGCCACTAAAGTTGCTCATCTCTGTTGGAGAATGTGGGATGAGCAACTTTTAACATGGGAAGCTCAGGCAGAGGATGGCAAGCACTGTGACCTCTGCAGCATTACCAGCTGGGGCTGAGAACAGGGCCAGGGAGAAACCTGGGCTGGCACTGTGGGGGATTGTCATGTTTGGCTGGAAAGCTGCTGGCAGGAAAGGACCAGGGGGATGCTGGTCAGTGGTGCCCAGGTGGCCAAGAAGGCCAATGGCACTTGGCTTGTACCAGCCATAGAACCGGGGCAGTGCCCATCCCTCTGAGCTGGGCACTGCTGAGGCACCTCCAGCCCTGAGGAACCCTCACAAGAAGGACATTGAGGGGCTGGAGCATGTCCAGGGAAGGGAACAGAGCTGGGGGAGGGTCTGGAGGAGCTGAGGGAGCTGGGAAAGGGCTCAGCCTGGAGAAAAGGAGGCTCAGGGGGACCTTGTGGCTCTGCACAACTACTGACAGGAGGGGACAGCCAGGGTGGGGGTTAAGCTCTGCTCCCAGGTAAAGTGAGAGGAAATGGCCTCAAGTTGTCCTGGGGAGGTTTAGGTTGGATATTAGGAAAAATTTTCTCCTTGATAGGGTGGTCAGGCACAGGCTGCCCAGGGCTGGAGTTGCCATCCCTGGAGGTGTTCACAATATGTGTGGACGTGGCACTTGGGGACATGGTTTATGGTGAACATGGCAGAGCTGGGGGAATGGTTGGGCTTGGTGATCTTAGAGGGTGTTTTCAACCTAAACAATTCCATGATTCTACGTTTGGAGGTGTCATGGTGCCTGAGCATGGCTTGGAACTGCACATGAACACCTCCCTAACCCAGCTGGGGTCTCACGTTGCCCAGTTCCCAGCCTGGTGGGATTCCTGAGAGGGCAGGGGTGCAACACTGGTGCAGGAGAGCTGGGGCAGTTGGACACTGGAGAACAGGAGGAGCAGCTGCACTGGCCTACAGAAACCCTCTGAGATGTCTCCTGGTGGCTGCGTGAGGCCCCGTGATGCTTTGTGATGTCTCTGTGCTTTCCCACGTGAGTTTTGGCAGCTGGTGCCCGTCCATGCCCTCTTGCTGCACTCACCCCACTCTCATTGCAGTCTGTAGTGTTTGTCCAGCAGCTGGCAGCAGCTCCCAGGGACATCCCTGGGCAAGGCTTGGCCAATTGCCTGAGGAGCAGGATCTCCCTGGGGGATTCCTGCATCTCCAGTGTCTCTTTGGCACTGGGGAGATGGGACAGGATGGCATCCCTGCACACTGGGGACTGGCACTTGGTCCTCCCCAGCCCCATGGTGCCCTGGCTGGGAGGGCCAGGGTGAGGGATGGGTCTCTTGGGTGCTTGGAGCTGGCTGGGCAGTGAGGTTTGGGGAATGGCAGTGGGGCAGATGTTGGTGTATGGGCACTGGAACAGCCCAGCATGGCCAGGCTCAAAGTGGGGTCCTTAGTGCCCTGTGGCAAATTCATGTGTGCACACCCCTCTAGTGCTGCTGCTCATGCTGGTCCAAACCCCCCTTGCAGGTATTTAACCCCCTGGGGGGAGTGGGGAGACAAAGAAATGTTTTGCTGAAAACTTGCTCTCATTTTTCCTTGAGAAAGGAAAAAATTCCCAAACGTATTGTGGCTCCAGTTTGTTCCTCTGCCCATTCCCTGGGGCTGCAGGGAATGTCTAGGGCGGGGAGGGAAGAGGAACAGCTCTTGCTGTTCAAGATGATGCACATCATCTTGCTCAAAAGTAATTAAAGTCAGGGATAATTTTTCTGGAGGAGGGTGGAACCCTGGGAAGGCGACAGGAACGAGTCTGGGACTGAGCACATCAGAAGCTGCTTTTTATTGTGGCTGCTGAGCTAAATATATCCACAGAGGCACAGAGCAGTTCCCATGCGTCTGCTGCGTGGGGTGAGGGGTGCAGGGTGCTTGGCACTGCCTGTCCTGCCAAGGGTACCCTGTACCCCCAAACACATCCCAGAGCCCTCCTGGCCTTTGCTCCTGGGTGGGAGAGGATCAGAGACTCATGAAGGGCAGGTTTAGGTTGGATATCAGGAAAGGTTCTTCCCCAGAGGGTGCTGGGCACTGCCCAGGCTCCCCAGAGAATGGGCACAGCCCTGAGGCTGCCAGAGCTCCAGGAGTGTTTGGACAGCACTACCAGGGATGCCCAGGGTGGGATTTGGGGATGTGTGTGCAGGGCAGGGGTTGGGCTGGCTGATCCTGGTGGCTCCCTTCCAGCCCAGGAGATTCCTGATTCTGAGTCCCAGTGCACACAGCGGCTGCTCAGGTCTCGATGTGGCGTGCCAGGGATGTGGTTTGAAGGAATTAATAGCTGTGTTTATGGAGCACCCGGGGACGGGAGCTGTGCAGTCATTAGCACTAATGAGAGCTATCTGCATTGTGCTTGGCTCCAAACTCCTTTCTCCACGAGTCCCCTGGGAGCCCCCAGCTTCCTGCAGCCGGTGCATCACCACAGGCAGAGCTGTGCAGGGCTGTGTGTGCAGGGCTGCAGAGGAGCAGTGTGTGTGCAGCCCTGCACAGGAGCAGTGTGTGTGCAGCCCTGCACAGGAGCAGTGTGTGTGCAGCCCTGCACTGGAGCAGTGTGTGTGCAGGGCTGCACTGGAGCAGTGTCTGTGCAGGTCCAGCTGCTCTGCTCCCATTCCCAGGCAGGGGTGAGTGCAGTGGGTAGGATGTGATGGGTGGGTCCGGCTCAGCCTCGCCTGTCCCGGTCCCATCGGCGAGTCCAAGGCTGGGGACAGCTTTTGGGCTGGGTGGTGCTTTGCTTCAAACGGTGAGGACTGTCTTGTCTTGTCGTGGTTTTGCATTTTGCATTTCAAACCTTTGTAGCTGCGGTTTGATGTGTCTGTGTCGGAGCGAGTGGGGCTGTGCTGGCCTGGCTGCCCTGATTCTGCCAGGCTGGGGCTGGTCTGGTGCCACAGCCCCTGTCTGTGCCCAGCTCTGCCAGGGGCAGCGGGATGGATGAGCCAGTGCAGCCGTGAGGGGCTGGTGGGCCAGGGGCAGTTCTAGGTGCAGGCTCTGTGTGCCCAGCCCTACCTGTCACCTCATTCATGGAGGTGTCTGCTGGTGTTTCTGGGATGTGTCACCCTCTGTTCTCAGCTGCAGACACGTCAGGGTTATGGCTGGCTGTAGCAGCTGAAGCATCCCTGCCCTGTATGCTCTGTGCTACAGGCAGAGGTGCTGTCTGTCTCCTGCCTGTGTGAGCCACGTTTCCAGCAGGGGTTGTAGAATGTCCTGAGCTCAAAGGGACCCACGGTGTTCACTGGCTCCAGCTCCTGGTCCTGTGCAGGACACCCCAGCAATCCCACTCTGTGCCTGACAGCACTGTCCAAACCCTTCTGGAGCTCTGGCAGCCTCAGGGCCATTTCCTGGGGAGCCTGGGCAGTGCCCTCTGGGGGAAGAACCTTTTTCTAATACCCAGCCTAACCCTCCCCATGCCCAGCTCCAGCTGTAGCATTGGGTCCTGTCACTGTCACAGAGAGCAGAGATCAGAGCTGCTCCTTGTGAGGGAGCTGCAGACCTCGATAGATCTGACCTCAGGCTGCTTTTGTCCAGTCTGAACAAACCAAGTGACCTCAACTGCTTTTCATATGGTTCCTCGAGGCCCTTCACCATTTTTATGTCCCCCCTCTGGACACTCCCTGATACTTTTCTGTCCTTATGCTGTGGTGCCCCAAACTGCACCCAGCACTCGAGGTGAGGCTGCAGCAGTGCAGAGCAGTGGGGAGCAGTCCTTTCCCCCTGCTTGTGCTGGACTAGGCACACTCTAGGACATGGATGACAGGATGGGCTGTGCTCTCATCCTCAGGCCAGACTGGTGTCCCCCAAGCCTGTGCTGCACTCAGCCTGCTTCTCTTCCCACAGGATCCGTCCGCAGCTGCCCAAAGAGAAGATAGAGGGATGTCACATCTGCACCTCGGTGACACCTGGCGAGCCCCAGGTGCTGCTGGGCAAGGACAAGGCCTTCACCTATGACTTTGTCTTTGACCTGGACACGTGGCAGGAGAGGATCTACACGACGTGCATGGGGAAGCTCATCGAGGGCTGCTTCGAGGGCTACAATGCCACTGTGCTGGCCTACGGGCAGGTACGGGCTCTGCCCTCAGCCCTGGGCTCTCCAGGCATGCTGCAGAGGGCACCTGGGGGGGCTGAGGAAGGTGGGCGTGTGTGAGATCCTGGGTGTGGAGAGAACAGAGTTGTCCCTGGTTGGGCGAGAGCTGGGGCAGGGGTGGCCTTGGGTGGGACGGGGGTTGGCAGGGCTGGGAGTGTGGGAGCTGATGTGTCTCTGGGGATCACAGTAGCTCAGCAAGGGCATTTGGGGAGCCTAAAGTAGCAGAGGGAAAATGTGGGGTGCACTGGGCAGAGCTGAGCCGGGGAGGGCCCAGCCAGCTCCCCTCTGTCTCTGCACAGACTGGAGCAGGGAAGACCTACACCATGGGCACTGGCTTTGACATGAGCATCTCGGAGGAGGAGCAGGGCATCATCCCTCGGGCCATCAGCCACCTCTTCAGCGGCATCGAGGAGCGCAGGCGGGCAGCCCAGAGCCAGGGCCTGGCAGCACCCGAGTTCAAAGTCAGCGCCCAGTTCCTGGAGGTGGGTAATGGGAGGTCTGGGGGACGCCGTGGCCCTGCCCTGTCCTTGCCCCTGTGCCTTGGGCTCCTCCAGATCTCTTGGCTGGCTCCTGGCAGAGCTGGACCCTGGGACAGGCATGGCACTGGGGATGGGGCTGGTGCAGTGGGGACTGGAAGCACCTACGTGGCTACAAACTGGTGGAGGGAGCTCCCGCTGTGGGGATGGGCCTTATGGCTTGGTCCCCTGGGGATCCAGGGGCTCTGGGTTGTCTTACCCCTGTTTGAGGTCAAGGATAGCCTTGGCCAGAGTTCCCAGTGAAACAGGAGGAGAAGAAAATGCCACTCTTGGGGGGGTTGGGGAAGGACTGTGCTGTTTTCCATGTCCTTTGTTGCATCTCTGATCTTGAGAATGCATCCTGTCCTGCCTCTGCCCTGGCTTCTCCTGTTCAAAACCTCTTCTATTAACTGCTTCATTCCCTGGAGAAGTTTGTCCTGGGAAGCACATGGTCCTTGTGTGTTGGCAGCATTTTTCCTGGAGGTTGCTTCTGGGCTGAAAGAGCAAAGAGGTGCAAGTGGGAACTGTTTTAAGGTCCTAGTGAGAAAGCACAGGGGGTGCTGAGCAAAGCTGAGCTCCCAAGCAAGCTTCATCTGGTTGAGGTTGTGAGAGGAGATGGGCAGGGAGGGGCCCTGTGCTGTGATCTTGCCTCCTGGTGGCTTTGTTGGCCATCACATCTGGGTGTCTTCAGATGCTGATGGCTTGGAGAGGGCCCAAAGTCACTTCCACGCTGGAGAAATCCTTCCCAGTTATGTCTCCATCTGCAGAGCCCTTGCTAACTCTGTGGTGCTGTTGTGTCCTTCCATTCCCATCTCTTGGCCTATCCAAGCTCCTGTTCCCGCCCAACTGGGCTCAGTTTGTGGGGCTTCTCTTTAGGGATCCTTTCTGCTGGGGTGGAAAGGGGGACAGTTTCCTGCCTGTCCTGAAGTCCTACATGGCTAAAGCAGCACATGGCCACCTCAGGCACTGGTCACAAACCCTGCTGTCCTGGCAGGGGCACAGGACCTGTTCTGGCTGATCCCTGTCTTGTGACTTTGCTCCTGGGAGCAGGTTCTGGGAGCAGGTTTAAACCCTTGAGGAGCCTGGTGGCACCAGGGGCAGCCAGGGACGGATTAGTCTGATCCCTTCTGCTGGCCAGGAACCTGCAATCCTTGGGTGACCCAGCCCTCTGCACGGGCATGTGGTGCAAGAGGTGACATTGAATGGTGCAGCAGGGGGACAGATGGGCAGGGGTGTCCCTCCACCCCAGGCTGAGAGGGGCTGCAGAGTTAGGATATGGATGGAGTCAGCTCTGGGGCAGCTGGGCTTTCCTGCTTGTTCAGCACTCCCTGGTCTCCCTTATCCCCTTTCTACCTGACAGAGAGGACCTTGAGCTGTGATGGGAGTGAGGTTTCACTGGCTCCTGTGGCCAGGTGAACCAGGAAGGTCAGGGGGATGTCCTGGGCATCTGCTCAGTGGAGCTGCTCGTGTGCACCAGGAACTGGACAGGTTTGGGCAGCAGAAACCAACCCAAAGCTCAGAGCTTTGCATGGCAAGCTCTGGAGCAGCAGTCTGATGAGGAGTGGCTGAGGGAACTGGGGGGCTCAGCCTGGAGAAGAGGAGGCTCAGGGGGACATTCTTTCTCTCTACAACTTCCTGGCAGGAAGGTGGGGCCGGATGGGGGTCGAGCTCTGCTCCCAGGGGCAAGGAACAGGAAGAGAGGAAACAGCTTCAAGTTGTTCCAGTTGAGGTTTAGATAGGATATTAGGAAAAATTTCTTCCCTGAAGTTGTGGTCTGGCATTGGCACAGGCTGCCCAGGCACAGATGGAGTCACCATCCCTGGAAGTGGTCAGAAGATGTGTGGGTGTGGCATTTGGGGACACGGTTTAGTGGTGAACATGCCAGTGCTGGGGTAAATGGTTGGACTCAATGATCTTAGAGAGCTTTTCCAGTCTGAAGGATTCCATGATTCTGTGCTTGTGCCTCCTGTGGTACACATGCACACCCCCCAGCTGCCCTGCTCAGCCCTGCAGGCAGTGTGAGCACACACAGCTACGGGGGAGTGGCAGCAGGGTGCCAGAGGGCAGCTCCTGCCCGTCCTGCAGTGCCAGGCTTCAGCAGCCTCGTGCTTCCCCTGCTCACCCCACACCCACTGCTGCCCTGCTCAGCTCTACAATGAGGAGATCCTGGACCTGTTCGACAGCACCCGCGACCCCGACGCGCGCCACCGCAAATCCAACATCAAAATCCACGAGGATGCCAGTGGGAGCATCTACACCACGGGGGTCACATCACGCCTCATCAGCTCACAGGATGAGGTGGGTGCAGGATGGGCAGACACAGAGCAGGGCGGGCAGCTGGGTGCCACTGGCCAGGGATGTGCTATGTGGGGACAGCCTTGGGGGGAGATCTCTCCCAGTGCAGTCCTGGGGGTGTTCTGGAAAAGGTCAGTGTGTCCCCTGAGCTGCACAGGGTCTGTCCTGACTCCCTAGAAGGGTGCTTTAAGGTTTCATTCCCTGCCTGGTGTCATTGCAGCTGATCCAGTGCCTAAAGCAAGGAGCTCTTTCCCGCACCACGGCCAGCACTCAGATGAACGTGCAGAGCTCCAGATCCCATGCCATCTTCACTATTTACCTGTGCCAGACCAGAGTGTGTGCCCGCCCAGAGCTGGTGAGATGTGATCCTGCCTCATGGCCAGGCTGTTCTTGGGTTCCATACCCAGGTGATGCATGAAGTTCCCTTGGGAAGGGGAGGGGGTTTGAAGTCTGGCAAAGGGAAGCAGGGATTTTTCTGTCTTCTTTCCAGTCATAGCCTGCATTAGGGTTTAATGGGAGCTGAGGGTGAGCTGATCCAAGGCAGGCTGGCTCAGAGCAAGCTGCTCTTGGGGTGCTGTCCCCATCTCTGAGGGGCTGGGACTCTGAAGGCCAGGGAGCCTCTGCCTGCTCCAGTTTGGGATGCTGACCCCTGGTGTGTCCCTGGCTGCAGGTGAATGAGGAGGTGAGCAGCCTTCTGGATGGATCCCAGCCTGCTGCTGAGTACGAGACCTTGACAGCCAAGTTTCACTTTGTGGACCTGGCTGGCTCGGAGAGGCTGAAGCGGACAGGTGCCACTGGCGAGAGAGCGAAGGAGGGCATCTCCATCAACTGTGGGCTGGTAGGCACCAGGCTCACCAGGGGGCAGGGGGTGGCAAGGCAAGGCCTGCCAGGGAAGCCTCTAACACTTCTGGGTCTTGCTTGGAGCTGCCCTGGGCTGCTGGGGTATGCTGTCGTGGCTGGGGTTTGTGCTGCCTGTGCCTGATGGTGAGAACACGCACAGTGACAGTGGTGGGGGCACAGCTCTGCCCCAAAGGAGACTCGTGCTGTGGGGAGGGGTACAGCTGGGCACAGGGGTGCAGCTCCCAAAAGGGTGAGATCTGCTAATCAGAGCTAAAAAACCCACTCTGGGGCTTGATGGTTCTTCTCAGTGCAGCATGGGAGAGAGGCACACCCAGGGAAGCACCACGCCTGCCCCTGGTGCAACCCAAACCTGTGCTACAGTGGGTGCCCCAGGCCTGAGGTGCTGTATCCTCAGCCAGGGCTGAATCTGGGGGGGCTTCCCTTTGTGTTGGTAGCTGGCCTTGGGGAATGTCATCAGTGCCCTTGGAGACCAGAGCAAGAAGGTCGTGCACGTGCCCTACCGTGACTCCAAGCTGACTCGCCTGCTGCAGGATTCCCTCGGGGGCAACAGGTAAGGGGGTCCCAGGTGGGGGCTGAGCTTGGGCCGAGAGCTGCAGGGGATGTCCCCCTGCCATGGGGCTGAGGGGGCTCTAGAGCTATGTAGGGGCTGTCTCAGGGCTCCAGTGGCTGCCTGGTGAGGAAGAGATGCTTTCTTCCAGGCAAGGCATGACTTTGCAGATGTAAAGACATCATCAGCCTCAGGTGCAGTTAGCAGCTTTGGCAGAATCAGCTCATGCAAAACCTTCCTGAGCCCTGACAGATCTGGGACTTGGCAAGTGATGGTGCCCAGAATGGGATTGAATTCCCTGCCTCTTCTCCAAAGAGGGAGGCATTGAGGAGGGGCTGCCTTTGCCCAGTGCTGTATGATGTGCTTGAGGGGTCTTGTGGCTGCTCTGGCTGTGGGAGGGATGAACCCAGTTCATACCTTGTTTTAAAACCCAGAAGGGCCCAGGATGGGCTTCCATCCAGGATGGGTGTGTGGGGTCAGTGCTCTGTGCTGAGTCCTGGGTTTGCACCTGCTGGGTTGCTGAGCTGTGCAGGGACTGTCTTTCACCCTGCCCTTGCATCCCCAAGCCAAACCATCATGATTGCCTGTGTGAGCCCCTCTGACCGGGATTTCATGGAGACCCTGAACACGCTCAAGTACGCTAACCGGGCTCGCAACATCAAGAACAAGGTGGTGGTGAACCAGGACAAGACGAGCCAGCAGATCAGCGCGCTGCGCGCCGAGATCGCCCGGCTGCAGATGGAGCTCATGGAGTACAAGGCAGTGAGTGGTGCCATGTCCTGCTGTGCCCAGCAAGGGAACCACTGCAGCCAGCTGTTCACTGCCCCCCAGTGGGATGGGAGAGAGAACTGGGAGAGTAACAGTGAGAAAATTCCTTGGTTTAGGTACAGTTTAAGAAGTAAAGCAAACTAAGGAACTCATTCCCCATGTCCCATCACAGGGAGGTGTTCAGCTATCCCCAGCCCAGCAGAGCTCTGTCAAGTGTAAAGTGACTTGGGACAGCACTCCAGGCATCCCCTGTTTCTGCTTCCTTCCCCCAGCTTTATATGCTGAGCATGACATCCTGTGGTTTGGGATATCCCTGTGGTGAGTGGGGGACAGCTGTCCTGGCTGTGTCCCCCCAGCTCCTTGTGCACCCCTGGCCCAACGCTGGTGGGGGCAGAACAGCTCCTGACTCAGCAGGAGCTAAATCATCCCTGTGGGATCCGTGCTGCTTTCAGCACAGATCCCAAACACAGCACCACACAAAAGCTGCTGTGAGGAAAATGAGCTCCACCAAAGGCAAACCCAGCTGATGGAGCAACCCTGGCGAGGAGGCAGAGACAGGTGCAGAAAGGCCCCTCCTTGTGTTTGAGTTTGGCAGGTTTAGTGGGACAGACCCTTCTGCCCCCATCCCCTGCCCCCCAGGAGAAACTGCTAGGAGGAGTCAGGAGGCTTAAGAAACAGGGTCTGAGCTCCTGCCTGTCAAGGCAGGACCTTGGCCAGGTTTTGGGGGTGGTAAGGCAGAGAGAAGCCCTGAAGCATCTCTCACCCTCTGCATGTTCAGCTCAGGCTTTCCTGGTCCCTAGCTTTGTCCCTGCTGTGTCTGGGGTTGCCCCCAGGGGTGCAGTGGTGGTGTCCCTGTGCCAGCCTGCCCTGCCCTCAGGCCCTCCCCTGCCGTGCCCCCAGGGTAAGCGGGTGATCGGGGAGGATGGCGCAGAGGGCTACAGCGACCTGTTCCGGGAGAACGCCATGCTGCAGAAGGAGAACAGCGCCCTGCGCATGCGCGTCAAGGCCATGCAGGAGGCCATCGACGCCATCAACAGCAGGGTCACCTACCTCATGAGCCAGGAGGCCAACCTGATGCTGGCCAAAGCAGGTGAGGCTGGGCTGGCACGTGGCACGCTGGGCCAGCCCGGGCAGCAGCAGGGCCAGGGGCTGTGGTACAGCAGCGTGTGCCTCTCCCCACTGCAGGTGACGGGAACGAAGCCATCGGCACCCTCATCCAGAACTACATCCGGGAGATCGAGGAGCTGAGGTGAGCGGGCACACAGCTGGGCACTCTGGGGCCAGGGGCTAGGGCTGGGTGGCTCACAGCTCAGTGCCTCCAGCATTGCTGGGGTGGACTGTAAGCACTGCTGCTGTGCAGGGTTGAAGGAGGCCCAGCCTTGGTGCCAGGTAGTGCTTTGGCTGTTGTTGTCCTTGGTGGGGCATTGATGGAGGTGGAGGTGCTGTTTGAAGTGCCTGGGGTCGTCCAGGGACTGCTGCCTCCCAAAGATGGGTCCATCCCAGTCTCTTGCTTAATCCTGGTACCCTGTCTGGCAGCATTGTGGCTTTCTGACCCATCATTAGGGGGAATGGCTTAGTAGTGACTCTGTCCTTGGCACACACCATGTTCAATCTGTAGAAGACTCCGGGAGAGTCTTCTGCAGGTTGAACATGATGCTGGCAGCATTGTGGCTTTCTGACCCATCATTAGGGGGAATGGCTTAGTAGTGACTCTGTCCTTGGCACACATCATGTTCAATCACATCATGTTCAATCTGTAGAAGAGCCCCTAGAGCCCCTTCCACTGCCTAAAGGAGGCTTATAAGAAAGAGGGAGAGTGTTGGATTTTTTTTTTTATTTTTAAGGTGGACAGATAGTGATAGGACAAGGGAAAATGGCTTTAAACTCAAAGTGGGGAGATTTAGATTAGAAGTTAGGAAGAAATTCTTCCCTGTGAGGGTGGTGAGGCAGTGGCACCAAAAGTGGCAGTTTGCCCAAAGCAGCTGTGGTTATTCCATATCTGTAAGTGTATGGAGCTTGGAGCAGCCTGGTCTAGTGGAAGGTGTTCCTGCCCCTTCCATAGCAGGAATGTGGAACGAGATGAGGTTTAAGGTCCCTTCCAGCCCAAACCACTCTGTGATTCTAAACCCAGGCAAGACCCACCCTGCAGGGCAGAGGGATGGCCCTCATTGACTGCTGTTTGCACTCCCCAGGACGAAGCTCCTGGAGAGCGAGTCCATGAACGAGTCCCTGCGCCGCAGCCTCTCGCGGGTGTCTGCCCGGCCCGCGTTCCCCGTGGGCTCCTCGCCGGGCGCGGGGCTAGCCGGGCTCTGCAGCCCCGCCGCCCCCCTGGACACCGAGGCCTCCGACGTGCTGCGAAGGGCCAAGCAGGACCTGGAGCGCCTGAAGAAGAAAGAGAGGCGGCAGCAGAGGAAGAGGTGTGGGGAGGTGTTGGCAAGGGGAGGCTGAGTCTGTCCCTGTGGGGTTGGGTCTCCTGTTTCCCCCAGCTCTGCTACACCAGAGCCCACACGCCTCATTCCCCTCCCAGCCCTGCCCTGCCCTTGGTCTCCTTTTCCCCGTCACGTAATTCCAGAGGCTGTTTTCCCCAAAGAGTCCAAAAGCAGGAGGGAGGGTGGCCCAGCAGAACCTCTCTCATGCTGGGACTCACCAGCCCCCTCTGTTCCCCCCAGCCCAGAGAAGGAGGCATTTAAGAAGAGGCAGAAACTGCAGCAGGACAACGGGGAGGAGACGGATGAGAATGAGGTGGAAGAGGTGAGTGGGCATCGTGCTCACACTGGGGGGATGTCTGGGTGGTGGAGCACTGAAATTGCCACACATGGGACAGGAACCAAGCTCAGCCTGGCCCTGAAGCAGGCTGGAAGGGTCGTTCTGCTGAGGACTCCATGCTGGAGCAGGGTGGAAGCTGGGTACACCCCAGTCAGCCTGAATGTAGAACGAGGAGTCCATGTTTTGGGGGGCTTGATTTCAATCAGCATAGATGAGTTGGGGTCAGCTGGGAAGGGATGGATGCAAGAATGGAAGGGTCAAATTGCTGTCCCTCTCAACAGTATGTGCTGGTCCAAAATGGTGCTGCAGCCCCTGGGCATCCTGTGTGGGAGGCCGAGTCCCACCTGGGGGCTGTGGCCCATTGCTGTAGGGTGAGCTCTGGTTTGGAGGAGGGAGAAGCTGTGGGCAGAAGGACAGACCATCCTGCTGGCTGAGATTAGGCACTCATCTCTTAGGAGGAGGAAGAACAGGATGAGAGTGGCTGTGAGGAAGAGGATGGGCGCGAGGATGAAGATGAGGACTCGGGCAGTGAAGAGAGCCTGGTGGACTCGGACTCGGATGCAGAGGAGAAGGGTAAAGTGGAGATCTGTGTGCAGCCATGGGCATGGAAGGGCACTTGCTGGTGTCTCTGGCAATGAGCTCTGCTCTTGGGGAGGCAGAGCTCACCATGCCCCAACCAAGTCTGTTGTGTAGGACTTTCAAGAGCCCCAGGGCTGCTGCAGTGCTCTTTGGGTGCTGCTGCTCCCCACAGTGGGGGTTCCCATCAGCTTCTCTGCCCTCTCCATGTGCTGTGACTCAGTGGGGCCGTGGAGGTGATGCTCCCCATGCCTCCCAGCCTGACTTTCTCCTCTGCCTCCAGCTGTGAATTTCCAGGCTGACCTGGCGGACCTGACCTGTGAGATTGAGATCAAGCAGAAGCTGATTGATGAGCTGGAGAACAGCCAGCGGCGTTTGCAGACCCTCAAGCACCAGTATGAGGAGAAGCTGATCCTACTGCAGAACAAGATTCGGGACACACAGCTGGAGCGGGACCGGGTCCTGCAAAACCTCAGTGAGAACTGCCTCACCCTTGGGATCCCATTCTCAGACCCCAGTTCCAGCTCAAGCCCAGCTAACTCTAAGTGAAAGCATCCACCCCTTGCTCTGGTAGAGCTTTGTCCATCCCCCTGCCTGTCCTTGAATCCCTGGCACCCCCAAGTCTCTGCTTGTCTTGCTGTGGGAGCAGCATCAGTCAGCTGCACAGCTCTGGACCCTGCTGGTACTGGAGAAGGGCGGCAAGGCAAAGCCTCTTCCAGCCTTGAGCACCACCTCATGAGCTGGGGGGATTCCTGGGGAAATGGAGAGGCAAAAGACCCAGTGGGGTGGCTGATCTCCAGGCTTAAATAGGGCAGGGTCACCCCTGTGTGTGGCTGTGGGTCCCAGTCTGCAGCCCTGCTCAGGCCAGCCGCTGTATCTGCACTCTGAGCTCTTCCAGAGGGCATTCCCAGACAGCCCCAGTTCACAAAGGGTGAGGGGGGCTCTGATGGGACAGGGAGGGGTGCAGTGCTTGGTGCCTCCAGGCAGGTATGTGGGTACAGGAGGATCCCGGGGTGCATGGCCCTAGCGAGCTCTCTCCCCACCCACCAGGCACCATGGAGTGCTACACAGAGGAGAAAGCCAACAAGATCAAGGCAGACTACGAGAAGCGGCTGAAGGAGATGAACCGGGACCTGCAGAAGCTGCAGGCAGCCCAGAAAGAGCACGCTCGCCTGCTCAAGAACCAGTCCCGCTACGAGCGCGAGCTGCGGAAGCTGCAGGCAGAAGTGGCCGAGATGAAGAAGGCAAAGGTACCTGGATGTGCCGGGGCAGGGGGGAATCCTGGACGAGCCCGGCTCCCGCGTGGAGCAGTGTTTGGCACTCTGGTGGCAAGCACAGAGCGTGTGTCTGCGGGGTGGGTGGTGGCCCGGGGCGGTGGCACAGCGGCCCCTGCTTGCAGGTGGCGCTGATGAAGCAGATGCGGGAGGAGCAGCAGCGGCGGCGGCTGGCCGAGACCAAGAGGAACCGCGAGATCGCGCAGCTCAAGAAGGAGCAGCGCCGGCAGGAGGTGAGAGCCTGCCTTGCCCCGTGCAGGGGCTGGTCTGGCTGGGGAGGGGCTGTTTGTGCTGCTCTGCCACTCCAGCTGCTCACACATACCTTGAAGCTTGGTGAAGCCTCGCTGGAGGTCCTGGCAGAGCACAGCTGGATGAGCAGCTCCCGAAGGCTTCCCACTGCTCCTGTTGGAGTTGTGGGGATGCTGTGGGAGGGGGGAATGTGCAACCAGAGCCAGCTCAAGGCTCATTGTTAGACTCAGGAGTGAGACTGTGCCAAAAGGAGCACTGGGACTGCAACCACGTCTGGGCTGGACCTCAGGGGTGTCTTTTTCTTTCTCACTCATGCAGTTCCAGATCAGGGCTCTGGAATCTCAGAAGCGACAGCAGGAAATAGTGCTGCGGAGGAAAACCCAGGAGGTGAGGAAAGGGGGTTTCCTCCACATAGCCCCCAGCTTCCATGGGGATCTGGGCCCCAGTTCTTGGCTCAGAGAAATCCCATCTTTCAGGCAATCTGGGCTGGCTTTGGGAATGGGGTCCCAAAAAGGACAATCTGGGCTGGCTTTGGGAATGGGATCTGCAAAAAGCAGGGAGAGGTTTTATGGCTCAGGAACCGGGTGGGAAATGGATGTAGGCAGCAGCAGAGTTCCCCATCCCAAGCAGCAGAGCTGGTGGCAGGGGTGGAGGGGGGAGAGGGAACTCCATGAGGGACAAAAGTCCCTGGGCTTTGCTGCTCTCAAACCTGTGGGGACCTGGGGGTGATGCCAACGGGTTTAGGCTGGGTGGGGCTGCCCAGCTGACACCCTCTCTGCTGTCCTTCCCGCGGGCAGGTGTCAGCGCTGCGCCGTCTGGCCAAGCCCATGTCAGAGCGGGTGGCAGGCAGGATGAGCCAGAAGCCGGCCATGATGGACTCGGGCGCGGAGGTCTCGGCCAGCACCACCTCCTCCGAGCCCGAGTCGGGCGCTCGCTCCGTCTCCAGCATCGTGCGCCAGTGGAACAGGAAGATCAACAACTTCCTGGGAGACCCCTCGTCCTCCATTAATGGGGCTCGGCCTGCCAGGTCAGGGCAGGGGCTGGCTGGTAGGGAGTGAGACATCCCAGGGACCCTCATGCCTGGCTTTTGGCTGGTGGTGGAGGTTGAAGGGTGGCTGCTTAGTGTCCACTGGAGCCATATTAAATCAGTGACCCTGTGATAAGCTGTGCTGGCACAGTGTGACTGTCACTTGGGCTTGAGCTCAAAGCTGGCCCTCCATGAGGATTAAATGTTGTGGCACAAACCCTGCTGGACTCATCTCTTGTCCTGCTTTACTAAGAGAAAAAGTTGGGCTATGTGGGAACAACACAGATGTATCCTCTGATTCTGGCCAGCCGGATCCTGGGGCAAGCCTAGTTCTCCAGCATGGTGTGGCCATCTGCCCAAATGCCTCTTCTTCCCTCTGGCTGTAGGAAGAAGTTCCCCAAGAAGGGGACGAGCCAGACCTTCAGCAAAGCTGCCCGCCTCAAGTGGCAGTCCCTGGAGCGGCGCATCTTCGACATTGTCATGCAGAGAATGACCATCGTCAACCTGGAGGCAGACATGGAGAGGCTCATCAAGGTGGCTGTAGCACTGGGGACAGAGAGGGCTGGGTGGTGGGTGCAGGACAGGGAGGTGGCCATGGGAACAGTGCTGATCCCCCTTCCCTTTTCCCCCAGAAACGTGAGGAGCTGTCGCTGCTGCAGGAGGCGTTGCTGGGCAAGCGGGCAAAGCTGCAGGCAGAGAGCCCCAAGGAGCAGAAGGGGCTGCAAGAGCTGAACGAGGAGATTGAGGTGCTGGGGGCCAACATTGACTATATCAACGACAGCATTTCAGACTGCCAGGCCACCATCATGCAGATTGAGGAGACCAAGGTGAGCAGTAGGGCTGGGTCTGGCTGGCAGGGAGAAAATGAGAGCATCCCTCTGTGGAAAGAGCACCCTTGGCCACTGCCAGCTGGGGCTGGGCTCTGCTCAGAGGAACCAGAGTCCTCTGAGCTGTCACTCTTGGTGGGGCTTCACCCACACAGTCACTTCTCGTTAGGTGATTAATTACAGAGAGGAGTTCTGGCAGGTCCTTGCATGTCTGTGGACAGGCTGCTGGTGTCCTGCTGCCCTGGAATTGTAGGGAAGCTGTGGCCCCCATTTGCCCACAGGGCTGGTGGTCACTTGTACCCATGGTTGTTGCTTCATGGACTGGAAACATCCTAGGAGGACTGGCTTTTCCCAGCAGAAGCCATCTAGATTTTGTGTCCAGTTGTGATACTGGGCATGCCACTGGGCAGCTCCCAGCTCCCCTCAATGCCTGCAGCCTGAAATGGAGCCTGTGTGCTGTCCCTGCCTTGTCCCCAGCTGTCACCTTGATTAGCAGAGAAGGACTGCTGTTAATTCACACTGGGCTTTGGGTTGTGGATTGGGTGAGCCTGGTGTCTGTTCTCTGTCTAGCTTTGTGTGGGAACCAGAATTTCTGTAGCAGTGCATAAGCCCTTCAGCGCTGGACAGTCCCATGGCTGGATCTCCCCAGTAGCCACTGGGCAGACTGGGGAGGGTGAGGGCTGCACTGGGCAGTGCTTGCAGGGTGATGGAAGTGCTGTGCTTGCCATGGAGACCCTTCCACCCATCCCAATCCAGCAGCAAAGCTACCCTGCTGCATGCAGCCCTTGTCTCTGTGTTTCAGGAGGAGCTGGACTCCACGGACACCTCGGTGGTGATCAGCTCCTGCTCCCTGGCCGAAGCCCGGCTGCTGCTGGACAACTTCCTGAAAGCCTCCATCGACAAGGTGTGGGGCAGGGCTGGGTGTGCATGTGTCACAGGGTTTCTTCCTGGCTGCCACCTGGTGGCAAGGACCTGTGGCACCCTCCTGAGTGCCGGCGTTGCTCGTGCAGGGGCTGCAGGTGGCCCAGAAGGAGGCGCAGATCCGGCTGCTGGAGGGGCGGCTGCGGCAGTCGGACGTGGCCAGCTCCTCGCAGAACCACGCCCTGCTGGACGCCCTGAGGGAGAAGGCTGAGTCCCACCCCGAGCTGCAGGCACTGATCCACAACGTCCAGCAAGGTGGGGCCGGAGGCAGGTGCATCTTCAGGCCAGCTGTGCTGCCTGTGTGCTGGGTGCCCACCCGTACTGGTTCTCCAGAAAGCATCTGGAGGTGCTGTGGCTGCGACCCTGCCCAAGGGCCATGTTGGGTGGGAGCGTGTGCCCTGGCCATGGATAATAGGGACCAGGACTGGGTCACCCCCCCATGCCTTCCTGGCCAGGGATAACAGGGACCAGGAGTGGGTCACCCCCCATGTTTTCCTGGCCATGGATAACAGGGACCAGGACTGGGTCACCCCCACGCCTTCCTGGGATGTCCCCTCTACTGCAGGGTTTGGATGGGGCTGGTGACAGTGGTGACCCCCTCTGGGTCCCCTCTGCTGATGCACTGTCTCCCTCTCACAGAGAATGGCTACACCAGCACAGATGAGGAAGTTTCAGAGTTCAGCCTGGCCTCAGATGGGAGGTGAGCACCCAGCCTGGCACTGCCTGAGGTGGTGGTGGCTGGGGCACAATGTCTGGTGCCATTTATGGACCTCGTAGAGGGGCATGGATGAACAAAGCCCCACCTGAGTTTTTCTGTGGTGCCCAGCCCTTGGTGGGGGGAGCAGGATGTGTCTTGGACATGAGCAGGGAGTGAAGGCTTGGTAATTCCTTGGAGAAAGGGTGCTGGGGGGCAGAGGGTGACCCAAGGAGTCTGGTGGACCAGTGGCACCAGCTTTCTGAAGAGAGTTTGGCACTGGAGATCCATCTTGGCTCCTTTCTCCTTGCAGCATCTCCCAGTCTTTCACCATGAAGGGCTCAGCAAGCCAGGATGACTTCAAGTTCAAGGTTAGTGGGCCTTTTTGTGTGGCCTGGTCACAGAGGCTGGGAGGGGGGATGGAAGGATGTTCAGTGATGCTTCAGGCCTCTGCTCTGCAGTCTGAACCTTGGGGAGCCAGGCTTGGCTTAAGGCAGTATGGCTGCTCTCTGGATGGGCAGAACCAAGGTCTCCTGGTACAGTGGTCCTGTCCTGGAGCACCAGAGACTTGGGAAACACCCACCACACAAGGCAGTACCTTCCAGATCTGAGTATCACTGAGGATGTCCCCGTGGAGGAAAGCAGCCATTGTTCTGTACAGGCTGTCATGTTTGCTGGAGAGCTGGCTGTGATGGGCATCCCAGTGGCACATGGGGGAGCTGGTTTGTGGCCAGAGAGCACAAACTCTTCCAGCCCACATCTGCTGCCACTGCCCCCCGTGCTGCCCACCCTGAGCCCTCTGCCCTGCTCTAGGGAGAGCCCAAGCTTTCGGGGCAGATGAAGGCAGTGTCAGCCGAGTGTCTGGGACCCACGCTGGACGTCTCCACCAAGAACATCACCAAATCCTTGGCATCCCTCATGGAGATCAAAGAGGACGGGATCGGCTTCTCCATCCGGGACCCCTACTACAAGGAGAAGGTGTCGCGCACCATCAGCCTGCCCACGCGAGGCAGCACCTTGTGAGCATGGCACGAGGGTCGGGGAGGCTCAAGGAGGCCTGGGCCTGGGGAAGCTGGGCCTGTGGAGGTGCAGAGAGGTGAAGGGGAGCCCAATTCTGCATCTGTCCATGCTTGGCTACAGCATGTAGTGGTGAATTTCCTCAGTGGGGCTTGGAGAGCGTAGGAGTATTGTTGGTGTCCTTTGAAGAGGAGAGGAGGATACTTCAGGAGCAGGGAAAGAAGGGGGAGGTCCCCAACTCTCTGCTCTGGGTTATCAGCCTTTTTGAAGGTGTCTTGGGTTGCCAAAGGCCTCTGCACTTGTGGGCTGCCACGAGATTGTGACTCCAGCCCGATCTCTTGTTTGCTCTTCTGGGGGAGGACAGAGGTGTTCAGTGTGGAGGGATCCTGGTGCAGGGGCAGGCACCCACTCTGCTTTGTTCCCCTGCTGCAGTCCCAGGCAGTCCCGGGGCTCGGACACTTCGCCTCTGACACGGCGGAAATCCTACGACCGCGGGCAACCTGCCAGGTGAGCTTGGGAGGATCAGTGACATGGGCAGGGGGTGCTGTGTGGCCCAGGACTCTTTCTGGTGCCAGTCAGATGCCAGATGAGCAGTTCCCAAGTCACGTGTCACTCTGATCCTTTGGCTCAGGCCTACAGACATTGGCTTCACACCACCCTCATCCCCACCCACCCGTCCGCGCAACGACCGCAACGTCTTCTCCCGTCTCACGAGCACCCAGAGCCAGGGATCTGCCTTGGACAAGTAAGTCCTGCTGGGGTGAGAGTGTCTGAGCGAGGGGAGCCCAGGCCAGGATAGCACATGGCATGTACTGAGTCCTGTGGAGAACACCAGGGCTTGGATTGGCTCCAGCCAGTGCCCTGTCACCACTTCACCTCCCTGCTGCTCCCTGTGATGGAGCAGCTGCCATGCCAGGGCTGTGCTCCTGCCCACTGTGCCCCTCTGAGCTCACAGTCCTGGCCTCTGCCTGCAGACAGGGTGGTGCCTGACTTGGACTCCTGGAAAGACGAGGGAGCAGGATGGGGTGAGGGGATGAGGGCTCAAAGGAAGCTGATGGACTGGCATCCAGCCACAAATGCTGCTCCAGCCTCTCCTGGCAGCTGGGCTGCTCTGCTCAAGTGCTGCTCTGGGCTTGCTAGCAGCGCTGGTGTTCCCTGATGGAGACCTGCTCTCTGATCCTCACACGCCCTCCTGCTCTTCTGCTCTCCCTTGGTTCTCCATGTGTGCTTCTCCTTCTCCCTCCCTCCACTCCTTCTCTCTGTCCTACATGGCTTGGATGCAATAACAATCTTCCACCTCTGACTCCACCGCTGCCTTCTCTAGTCTGGGTTTTCTCTCCCATAATCCTGCTAATTTTCTGCCCCTAGGTCTGATGACAGCGATTCCTCTGTCTCGGAGGTGCTGAGGTATAGACAACTTTCTATTTATTATCCCTTCCTCCGCTCCTCCTTCTCTCTGTCAGATGCCTGCTCTCCCTGTCCCTGCATGCTCTGCCTGCAGCTTGCTGCTCTCCCCCCATCCCAGCTGTGTGTCTGTCCCCCCTGGCATGCCACCTCTGGTGCCTGATGCTGTCCCTCAGCTGCAAGTCCAAACTGTTCCTGCTTGGATTAGCCCTTGGTGCGTGGTGCTGGGCTCACTAATGGGTGCTGGCTGCTTTGGGTTGGCAGCATGTCCTCCTCCAGCTCTGATGGTTTCTTGCCAGCATGAGGCCACCATGTGCCACCCCTTCCCCAGCTCTCCAGCAGGATGGTGACATGATGGGGAAGGGTGCTTGCAGTACGTCCCTTGTGCAAGCTTCTTCCAGGCAGTTATCTCAGGTTCACCTTGTGCCTGGTTGTGCTGAGTTGGAAAAGGTCAGTCTCTTTCCTAAATAAGTCAGATTGTGGTGCAGAGCTCAGCCTTGAAGTTAAGGTTCTCCTGGGCTTCTCTCCCTGCATCCTCCTCAATACAGAGGTTTCTCAGAACAAGGGCCACATTTCCCCCATCCTTTAGAAACTTTGCAGCCTTCCAGTGCCTAAAGGGGCTTGTAACAAAGAGGAAGAGCCACTTTTTACATGGGCAAATAGTGACAGGACAAGGGGGAACAGTTTAAAACTGAAAGAGGAGAGATTTGGACTAGATGTTAGGAAGAAATTCTTCCCTCTGAGGATGAGCAGGCCCTGGCACAGGGTGCTCAGAGCACCTGTGGCTGCCCCTGGATCCCTGGAAGTGTCCAAGGCCAGGTTGGATGGGGCTTGGAGCCACCTGGTCTAGTCTAAGGTGTCCCTTCTCATGGCACAGGCATGGAATGAGATGGTGTCTAAAGTCCCTTCCAACCCAAACAATTCCATGATTCCATGATCAGCCCTCCAGCATCCAGGTGTCCCCTCCCTCTGCCTGTGCCTTGAGCTCCTGCAGGCCCCTATCACTGCAGAAGTGACACCAGACCAGTCTGAGAGGGTCACCCTGGGCAGTTTGTAGGAGGGAGCCACTCAAAGTCCGTGGAAGATGCAGTGCAGGGATTTCCCCTTGGATCCAGTGCTGCTTTGAGGCTGGTGGAAGCACTGGGGGTGAGGGGAGGGCTGCTGGCTTGGCATTGGTAAGTGCAGAGCTGAGGAACATCACATGCATGTTTGATTTCCAAACCCAATTAATGACTCTGTGCTTGTCCTCACAACTAATGCAAACCTTGCCCTTCTCTAGCCCCATGCATCAGTTTCCCTGCCTGTAAGAAAAAACTAGCACAACTTTGGGTGTTGTCGCTGTGCTTGATGAGCAGGCACATGGGGGTCACACACAGGAGGGGCAGGCTGGTGGTCCTCAGCACCCTGAGCACGTCTGAAGTGGAGGGGATTGGCAGATGTGTCCCCCAGGACACTCAGCAGTGCTCCTGGGCAGCAGGATTGGCAGGGGTAGGTGCTCTCCTGCCCAGAGCCAGCAGTGGGGGCAGGAACAGCCATTGCAGCAGGGACATGGGGGCAGAGGCTGGTGCTGCCCTTTGTCACCCTTGTGATCTGTGTAAAGGAGTGAGGCCCTGTCTTCAAATGCCACCAGCCAAAGGGTGACAGCCTCCAAGGGATGGGGGTGCTGGTACTGGTACTCTGAAACATTATCCCAGCAGAGCTTCAGGCTGGAGAGTGCACAAATGGACTCAGGGGCCAAGGGGCTGAGTCTCCTGAACAGTCCTGGGTCTGTGCTGGTGAGGCAGGAGAGGTTTGGGGGGAGAGCAGAGGTCACTGGGCAGCCTCCCCCTTTCCCTGTCTGGTGGCAGGGGGTGCCCATGGGGACATTCTGGGGTTTCCACAGACCTCACCTCAGACAGGCCACGTTCAGCTGGAGCAGCCTGCCTCAGTGCTGGGCAGTGGGAGGTGCTTGGTGTGAGACAGCTGGTGTTGTTCCATGCCCTGGCACTGTGGGCACCGTGCCTCTCCACCCCGCACTGTAGCTGTTCTCTCTCTCCTGTGAAGGGGCATCATTAACCCCGTGGGTGGCACCAAGAATGCCCGGACAGCCCCGCTGCAGTGTGTCTCGGTGGCAGAGGGACACACCAAGCCTGTGCTCTGCCTGGATGCCACCGATGAGCTGCTCTTCACCGGGTCCAAAGGTGGGTGATGGCCAGAGGGGCAGGGAGGATGCAGATGCTGTGGGAGCAGGTTGGCATTGGGAGCACGGGAAGTGTTGGCACTACAGGGGTGGTCCCTGTCTTCAGTGTTGAGCCCTGCCCTGCCCCTGTGCTGGGGCTGGCTGGCTCCTTTCCTCTGGCCCTGTGGGTGGGGGGACGTGCTCAGAAGGCGTATTGTCCCCATGCCACCGTGCCCTGGGAGGTGACACCCCCAACACTCCTGGGCTTGTTCTTCCTCCCACAGACCGCAGCTGCAAAATGTGGAACCTGGTGACAGGCCAGGAAATCGCCTCTCTCAAGGGCCACCCGAACAACGTGGTTTCCATCAAGTACTGCAGCCACACGGGGCTGGTGTTCACCGTGTCCACGTCCTACATCAAGGTGTGGGACATCCGCGACTCCGCCCGCTGCATCCGCACCCTCACGTACGTGCAGCCCAGGCACCCTGGGCTTCTCTGCCTTTGCAGAAGCCATTTCCAGAACCTGCAGGGGCTGGGACATGGCCAGGTACAGCTCCTTAGTGCCAGTTTGCAGTGCTGCGTCCCCAGGGAGCAGGGAGGCTGGGAGAGGTTGGGGTGAGGGGACTCATGGGGACCTCCTGCAGCAAAGACTCAGGGTCACGAAATCACAGGATATGCTGAGTTGGAAGGGACCCATCAGGATCATCAAGCCCAGCTCCTGGCCTTGTGCAGGACACACCAACAATCCTGCCCTGTGTCTGGGAGCATTGTTCAAACACTTCTTGAGCTCAGACAGGCTCGGAGCTGTGCCCATTTCCTGGGGAGCCTCTTCAGTGCCCCAGCACCCTCTGGGGGAAAAACCTTTCCTAACATCCAAACTAAACATTTCCCAGCTCAGCTCCAGCCACTCCCATGAGTCCTGCCACATCATGAGAGGAAATAGATCAGTACCTGCCCCTCTGCTGCCCCTCATGAGGACGTTGAAGACCCCAGTGAGGTTTCCCCTCAGTCTCCTCAGTTGAACAAACCAAGTGACCTCAGCTGCCCCTCATGAGGCTTCTCCTCCAGACTCTTCACCATTCTCCTGGCCCTCCTTAGGATGCTCTCCAATGGCTTCATGTCTTTTTTATATTGTGGTGCTCAAAACTGCACCAAGGACTTGAGGTGAGGCTCTCCCAGAGCAGGGCAGGACAATCCCCTCCCTTGCCCAGCTGGCCGTGCTATGCCTGGTGTGTCCAGCACGTGGATGTCCCTCCTGGCTGCCAGGGCACTGCTGACTCACATACACTGACCAGGATGCCCAGGTCCCTTCCCACAGCTGCTCTCCAGCCTCTGTTCCCTGCTGTATCCACACAGCCAAGGTTGTTGTGTCCCAGGTGCAGAATCCAGCACTTGTTCAGGGTCTGGAGCTTTGGAGAGATTTTGCAGCTGTTCTGGGGATGGTCAGGAGAGCTGGCAGCTCCAGCAGGGGGGCACAGCCCCAAACAGCATAGTGCCTGGGTAAATCACAGGCTCTTTAGTGGGAAACCTGGGTCTCCGTGAGGAGTTTGAGGACCAGAAGGGAGCGTGGAACAGACTGGAGCTGTGGCTGCCAGTCTGGAGTAGGGCTCAAAGGTTGGGACAGTATGGTAGGTCAGAGTTACCCACTTGCCTTTGCAGGCTGAGCACTGGCCTGTGGGACAAGGCTCCTGTTGGTCCCATTGTGGCCAGAGGGACAGGGACACTTCAAGGCTTTCCTCAGTGTGGGACCCAGCTGTGCCAGCCTGGAGCCAGCCCTGTGGTTCCTCAGAGGCTCTGGTCTCATCCTCCCTGATGCCTCAGGTTTTGGCTTTTCTATTTTTCAGATTCTGTGCTGCTTTAGTGTGTGGGTCTGGGTTCACATTAGGGGATGGTGAGCTCTCTGCACAGAGCAGGGAGACAAAACAATTCCTTCTCTAGCTGGGGACCAAGGACAAATGATCCAAATTTCAGGCCCAAGAGCACAAATAATGTGGGCTGAAGAGAGAAATACAAGAAGGATGGGACTTCATGGGCTAAAGCTGGAATTGGACAATTAACTCCAATATGCAAATGGACCAAAACTTATAAAAGTGAGAGACGCCATGACCTGTCATCCATTTTGTGGCCATTTTGGGTCACCTGGGGTGTAGCCCTGCCTGGTGTTGGAATACAGGCCCCTCAGGGAACAGGCCTGGAGGGAAATCCAAGCACAAGGATTGAACTGAAACCCCTGGAAAAACTGAGGTGTATATAAAGCTACAAAGTGAAATAGAAATATAGATTTAGAATATAGATTTTAGCTTTTAGTAGAAACTCATACTAAGTGCCTTCAGTATCAAAAAAGCTGCAATAGAGAATAAAAGCTTTTTTGTCTTTAGGCACAGTTCTACCACAGTAGTGATATTTCTATAAGGTTACTTTGCCCCAGACAAAATCTAAACTGCTGGGCTCTTGTGCTGCCCAAGGTGGATCTATTGAGGCCTCCTAATAAATCCCTATTTTATTCTTTAGCTCTGTCTAGGCTCTGTTCAGCCTTGACAAGGCATCACCTGTGGTAATCACATATTCTCTGAACAGAGAGAGACAGCTCTCTCCCAGGATTTTCCTGGGAAGCTGTGAGAAGGCTCAGAGAAAAGAATGAGAAACAGTTCTTATCTCCACTTGCTGCACCTGTCATTGTGCACATGTGGAATGTGTTATGGAGATTTGTTTACCAAAGGGTGATTTCTTAATTGGCCACTGGTGATGGTGTTTTGGATTCAAGGACCAGTTAGGTCAGAGCTGTATTGGACAGTCTGCAAGGGCAGTGGGGGTCTGATGGCTCGACCTGGATGCCACAACCTTCCCAGAGAGGTCCCCCAAGAGACAACTTTCTAGGGGTCTGAGGCACTCCTTCAGCTGCTGGGTAACCTCAGCAAGGGGCAGGCAGCTCAGCTCTGAGCAGTGATTCCAGCTCTGAGCAGTGATTTCAGCTCTGCCTTGCAAGGTGTACCCACGCCAACACAGGGACAAAGAGACAGGAGCACCGTGTGGTTGTTCTGCACAGTTCCTTTATTCCAGCACCCTGCAAATGTATTGGACAGTCTGCAAGGGCAGTGGGGGTCTGATGGCTCGACCTGGATGCCACAACCTTCCCAGAGAGGTCCCCCAAGAGACAACTTTCTAGGGGTCTGAGGCACTCCTTCAGCTGCTGGGTAACCTCAGCAAGGGGCAGGCAGCTCAGCTCTGAGCAGTGATTCCAGCTCTCAGTGATTCCAGCTCTGAGCAGTGATTCCAGCTCTGCCTTGCAAGGTGTACCCACGCCAACACAGGGATGAAGAGACAGGAGCACCGTGTGGTTGTTCTGCACAGTTCCTTTATTCCAGCACCCTGCAAAGGAGGCCAGGGACAGCAGCTCTCCCCTGAACAGGGCAGAAACTGCTGGGGGTTTTATGGGGAAAAGTGGGGGTGGTACAAAGGGGGAAAACCAATCAGTCCCAACAAATCTACAGGGGGTTCCAAAGCATGGTGGGAACTCACCATGACCACGGAGGATTTCTCAATCCAGGAGAGTTTGAGAAGATTTTGTCATAGTCCATTAAAGGGATATCTTTCCAAGGGAGAGGGCTGGCATGCCCATCTGTCTCCACAGATGGGTTTTTTCTTAATAGTACAATATAGTATTATAGTAATATCAGGGTGCCCCCATCACAGAAATGATTGACATCTGACTCCAAGGCTTCGGAATGCTGAACACTTGCTTTATTATACTATATTGCACTATGTCTATATTACAAAGATTGCTAAAGAATACTAAAGGAAACTCACGACTGACTTTTGACAATTGGGCAACAGCTTTGTGTGATTGGCCAAGGAAACAAAACAATCCTCAGCAGAATCCAATTACCAAATTCCTTCAGGTAAACAATATCCTAACGCATTCCACGTGTGCAAAACAACAGGAGCAGAGAATAGAGATGAGAATTGTTTTTCTCCTCTCTGGTGCTTCTCTCTGCCTTTCCCAGAAAGTCCTTGGGAGAGTGATAAAGTTGTGGAATGGGGAGGTGGTGCAGTCACCATCCCTGGGGTGTTTAACAAAGCCTGGATGGGGCACTGGGTGCCAGGGTTTAGTTGAGGTGTTGGGGCTGGGCTGGACTCGATGATCTTCGAGGTCTCTTCCAACCTGGCCATTCTGCGATTCTGTGATAAAGCGATTGATCAGCCTCCTGCAATCACGGAGTCAGTGCTAATTACTCCCCGGCAGGTACGATACATCACCCCTTTGAACTCTGCTCCCTTCAGGTCGTCCGGCCAGGTGATCTCTGGGGACGCGTGTGCCGGGACCAGCAGCCGCACGGTGAGCAGCGTGCAGGGGGAGCACCAGATCAACCAGATCGCGCTGAACCCCTCGGGCACCGCGCTCTACGCGGCCGCCGGCAACGCCGTGCGCGTCTGGGAGCTGAGCAGGTGAGGCTGAGCTGGGCACAGCTGGGGCTCGGGGCAGCTGGAATGATCCCAGGGGAAATTAAAGCCTTTTTCACAGTGCAAGGTGCCTGGAATAAAGGTTTTCAGGATGCTTTCCTATGGGACTGTAGTGGTTTTGGTTTAAAAAGATTTTTTTAAGATTTAAGATTTTCTTAAATCTTAAATTTAAGATTTTTTAATTTAATGTTTAAGATTTTCAATTTTAAAAATTTTAAGATTTAAGACCATAAATCTTAATTTAAGAATTGAAGATTAATTTAAGATTTAAATTTAAGATTTTCTTAAATTTACGATTATAAAAAAATCTTAAATTTAAGATTTTTAAATTTAAAATTTGTGATTTAATTTTTTTAATGTTAAGATTTTTTAAGATCACAAATCTTAATTTAAAAATTAAAGATTAATTTAAGATTTAAATTTAAGATTTTCTTAAAGGTAAGATTTTCTTAAATCTTAAATTTAAGATTTTTAAATTTAAAAATTAAGATTTTAATTTATTTTAATTGATATCTTTAAGATCATAAATCTTAATTTAGGATTAAAAGAATTTTTTAAAAAAATTCTTAAGATTTAAGATTTGTAAATTTAAGACTTACAGTTGTGACCCAAGGGGTGATGAGCAGTCTGTGCTCTGCAGCCAGATGTTGGCACACACTCAGGCTGTAGTATATTTAATTAGTATATTTAATTAAAGTAGTTTAATTAAAAGTATAAAATACCACAAAATAAAAAACTTAAAATATAAAGTTTTAAAATATAGGAATATATATAGATCAAGATAAAAGTTTTAGAACATAAACTAGTTCTTCTTCACCTTCGTCTTCATAAGTTTAAGTAGTATTTTATAATTAGACAAAAAAGTCTACTTTGCAGACTTCAAATAATTAATTACTAAATTAAAAGTAAAAATAATTTAGATATAATTTCTTAATTACACAATTTAACCTTATAACAAAAAATAATTAACCCTTTTGTACCTTATTAGTAAAATATTACAAAACTACTACAACTACTCACTACCTGTGAGACTAGTAACATAAATTTAAAAAAAATAAACATTTAAATGTAAACACAAACTATCATCTCATGTACCTTCAATCCAAATCACAAAAAACAGCATTTTAGTGCTGCCCTGTGTGAGGACACCTGTTAAAGTCAAGACCTCCCTGAAGAAACAGAGATTACGTACAGATGTAAGCTAGGAAAAATAAATCCCCAGAATCAAAAAAAAATAAAAGACCCTCAAAAATCTCTAAAAACCAGTGAAACAGTTTGAACCAAAACGTAAATACTAAACCCAGGCTGCACACCCAGCTGTTGGCACACCCCGAGGCTGCCCTCCTCCCCTGGATCCCGGGCACTGGGCTCTCCCTGCCCGCTCCCCTGGCGGGCACAGCCCGGGCTGGGCATGGGAGCGCCCTGGGGAGCAGCTCAGCACAGCAGGGGCTGAGCTGTGCCCTCACTGCCAGGCTGCAGCCCGTGGGGAAGCTCAGTGGCCACATCGGGCCCGTGATGTGCCTGACCGTGAACCAGACGGCGAGCAACCACGACCTGGTGGTCACAGGCTCCAAGGATCACTACGTCAAGGTACTCTGCTCCTTGGGGAGCAGCACCCCGAGTCCTGTAGGGAAGCCCAGATGTTGGGAACCCCTCGCTCTTCTCTCCTCCTGAAAGCTGAGCCCAGATTCTGTTTTCACCTCTGCATGTGAGGTTTTCACTTTTTCCCTCTTCCCAAGTCTTGCTTTTTGCTTGGTGCACAATGCACCTTTGGAGATGAAGTTGCATTTCTCTCATGCATCAGACGCTCTGGCTGGGATTTGCATGTGAGGGCTGACCCAGATGAGCAGTTCACCCTGTTCTGCTCAATTATCCTCCCCTGATAAAGATGCCTTGTGCCTGCTCAGTCACAGCTCCAGCACAGCAGGAGCCTGTCCCTTCCTTTCAGGTTTTAGCAGCTTGAATTAGAGCTGTCTCCAGGGAAGTGAGGAGGGGTGGTGAGATGGTGAGGCAGGATCCCCCTCAGCTGTCAGCCTGGCTCCAGAGGAGTGTGAAGGCTCACCATGAGTAAAATGCAGCAGATTGGGGCTGTCTTTGGTGGCAGATCTCCTCTGCTTGTGGCAGGACCCTCAGCCCCAACAGCCTCCAGTAGCCCATGCCCAATCCCATTTCCAGCATCTCTAGGTGCCCTGAGCCTGGGACATGGAGGGTGGTGGCCAAACTCCCCAGGGGAGGGAGTCCCCAGTGCCATCTGTGGTTGTTACCTGCTGCTCTTCCCCAGGTGTTTGAGATCACGGAGGGCATGGTGGGCAATATTGGCCCCACTCACAACTTCGAGCCCCCTCACTACGATGGCATCGAGTGCCTGGCCATCCAGGGAGATGTCCTCTTCAGTGGCTCCAGGGACAACGGCATAAAGAAGTGGGATCTGGAGCAGCAGGAACTTATCCAGGTCTGGAGGGGAGCACAGGGCAGAGGGGGGTGCTGCTGGGACCTGGGGGGGTATCCAGGACCTTAGTGCCAGTGGAGCTCCCCAGGGAGGGCACTCCCAGGGCTGGGCCGTGTGTGGGTGAGGGGGTGCTGTGCCCCCATAATTTGTCCAGCAGGTGCTTGGGATTGCTGGCTCTCCTTCAGACAGGCTGGGGCATCAGATCCAGTGTGGGTTCTTGTGTTCCACCCTGAATTCTGGGTGGAATTCAGAATTCCTGAATTGTCTCCTGCCCAAGGGAGAAACCAAGCCATGATTTTGAGCCCACACCCTTGGCTCCTACCTGGGCACCACCAGTTCCATAGTCCCAGTCAGTCCCAGGGCGTCAGTGAGGAGCTGAGCTCCCTCAGACAGGGAGCACCAGGATGGGTGCTTGAGGCTGCCCGTGGTGCTGCAGATGAGGTTGGTCATGGCTGTGCTCTGTGCCTGCAGCAAATCCCCAATGCCCACAAGGACTGGGTCTGTGCCCTGGCCTTCATCCCCGGCCGCCCCATGGTGCTGAGCGCCTGCCGAGGAGGCGTCATCAAAGTCTGGAACGTGGACACCTTCACCCCAGTCGGGGAGATCAAGGGGCACGAGAGCCCCATCAACGCCATCTGCACCAACTCCAAGCACATCTTCACTGCCTCCAGGTGAGCCCTGGGCATTCTGCCCCCGTGGCCCCTGGGAAGGGGGAGACCCTGGGTTTGAGCTGTCACCCCTGGGCCTGGGTGGGTGCTGGGTGAGCAGGGAGCGGGGAGGGAATTGCAGCTTTTTAGTCCCTCTACTCCTTCATCTCCTTCTGCCCACTGTAGCCTGCCCATGGCCAGGCCTGCCCACTGCAGTGCCAAGAGCTGTCCCTGGCCACCCCCTGCCCACGCTCTGGTGATGCCCTGGGTCACTCCCCACGCAGGGACCCCTCTCCCTCGGGGCTGGGCATTGTCTGCTGCTCTCGGGGAGCTCTTCAGCAGCAAGACTCTGATATCCTCTTTTCGACCCTGTCCCTTTTCTCCCTTCCTTTTTCTCTGTCTCTCTCTGCCTCTCCTTCTCCCCACCTCCCATCTGTGCCACAGCGACTGCCGGGTAAAGTTATGGAATTACGTGCCTGGGCTCACCCCTTGCCTTCCACGACGCGTCCTTGCCATAAAGGGCCGTGCTACTAGTCTGCCTTGACCCTCCTGCTCTTTGACTCTCTTGCTCATATGCTCCTCTTCCGTCTCTCCTTCCCTCTTCTCTCCATCTCTCCCTCCCTCTGTCCCTCTCACTGTTGCTTTGCTCCTCTCTCTCTCCCCCCACCCCTTTTTCTCTGGTCTGAGCTGCTTCTTCACGGTATGAAACTATTCTGCGTTTTTCCCCACTTGATAAGCCTTTGTTAGAATGGACTCAGCCCCTTGGCCCAGTCATCCCCCTGCCTTGGTTCCACTTCTTTTTGGTTTTTTTTCCTCGCCAAGTGCCCACATCTACTTTGGCAGCTCAGTGGGAAGCCATGGCCTGCCCGTGCCTTTGCATGGATAGTGGGTTGGGAGTCAGCAGCCACCCCCAGATCAGCCCGTGCCCCAGGAGCAAAGCAGCTCCCTGGATATCACTGCTGGGACCTAGATGGAGCTCATTCAAGGGTAGGAGTCCTGGTGTGGGGTCAGCCCTGGAGGTCACCCCTTTCCCTTTGTCCCCAACTGCTGCCAGTGGGCTGAGCTGGAGGCTGAGCCCCAATGGGTTTGCCTTCTCCCCAAAGTGCATCAGACAATCTCCTGCCAAGGGAAAAGGGCCTGGAAGCTTGGGGGGCTGCATGCTGCCGTGGTGGGTGGGGAGTGAGCACCCTCTGGGGCAGTGCTGTGGGGCTCCTGCCCCAACCCCTGGGTCATGCTGTCCCTCTCACCTTTGTTCCTCAGCGACTTGACAGTGAAGCTCTGGAGTGGGAGGAGGTTGCCTGCGGGGTCAAACTAGGAACTGCAGAAAGACTGGAAGGCGTGGGGCAGGGTGAAGGTCAGGGTACCTCCCCCTGCTCTCAGCACTCAGTCATCCACAGCAGCTCAGCCCAGGACAGGGATTTCTTTGTGCCTGACCCAACGGGGTGGACAATGCTGCGTCTGGTACTTCGAGCACTGTCAGCTCCTGTGAGGAAGCAGCTCTGGGGGGCACCAGCAGCTCCACCTGCCCTCCTGCTGAGGTTTCTCGACGGTTCTCCAGTGAACAGGAAATGTTTCATCTCTCCTCTCACCCATCCTGCTGTAAGGACTTTGGGGGTCAGAGATCCCTGACTCCTCAGAGACACCCAATTCCCTCCTGCCACTGTGGGCCCCCGTGGCCTCTGTGCTGTGCTGCTCCCGGGCTGGTTCCTGCAGGAGTCTTCTCCACCCCACCAGGACATTTGGTGTCTGCTGGCCAGGACCACCACACAGAGGGTGCTTCTCTGGAGCCATTACTTGTGAGACACCTCTGCTGTGGGGACTGCAGAAGGATTCCCTTTCCTCTGTGGATGTGGTACTCCCAGCCTTCCCATCCCTCTGTGGATGTGTCCCCAGTGATTGGAGGGGCACACTCTGAGCTCCTTTGCCATGTTCCATCTCGTGAGGCACAGCAAGCCTGGGATGATCTCCACTGGGCAACTTCCAGACAGACCTGCTGCAGTTCCCTTTGACACTCTCCAAACCCCAGTTGTAAACTCAGCTGTTCCATGGCTCTGGACTCTTCCCCACATGCCCAGCCCTCTCAGCCCTGCTCTGGACATCGTGACTCCCATCAGGGTTTTGTGCTGGGTGCCTGCAGCCACTTAACCCCCTTGGGATGGAGAAACGAAGCAAGAATGGAGCTTGCAGGGCAAAAAGGCCAAGGCTGGATTTGTCATCCCACTGCTGTGGCTCTGTCTGTCCTTCCTTTAGGTTCTGCCCTCAGAGCTCTGCCTGGACTGGAGCTTGCTTAGGCTGGGCCTGCTGGGCTGCATGGACCCAAGGCTGGAGGGGAGCAGCAGGGCAGGGAGCAGCCAGAGGCCACAGTGGCAGGAGCACAGGGGGAGGGGTTGCACACCCTGACCTCGCACAAGTCCCCTGACTCCCCTGTGCTCCAAGGACAATCCTGCCGTGGATGATCTTGCACAATCTCATCTCCTTGAGGGGCTGGGGGCTCCACTCAGGAGTGACTCCCCAAGGATGCACATTCTGCAGGCTCTTTCCTCTGTCTCTCCTCTTCAAGGAGGGCTGGTAAGGGCCTGGTCTCACACTGGAGCTTCCCTCCATCTCTCCTATGGCCCAGTGGACCATCCCTGCTCTGTCCTGCCCTGGGCCACCCAGGGTTTTTGTGGAATGGCCAAGGAGACCCCAGGATGGGTGTTCTGCCTCACACACTCTCCTTTCCCCTTTGTCACAGAAGAAGCAGCACTTGAACTCAAATTTAAGGATTTCTCCGTGTGATCCCACCAGCACTGAACTGGGATCTTGGAGGCCAGGGGCTCCAGGACCTGCCCCATCAAGCACAGACCATTGCCCCTCTGCTCTCTCCAACCATGGTGATACCTTGACCAGCCCCAGGTCATCAGCCACCAGCCCTTGTTCCAAGCATTCTGGCTGGAGTGAGGGGATTCCTCTGCATCATGACAGACAACAGTATCTGTTTTGATTTGGTGGGGGGAGGGGGGGTTTGCCTATTTTGGGGAAATTCCATCCTGCTGGCTTGCCTTGTTGGAGGGTAAATGGTACATGTATGTGTGTGAATGTGTGTGAGTGTGACCCTGCCCAGGACAGTCCCTGCTCCCTGTGCCTGTGGCTGAGCCCTGCACAGCCAGCACTGGTGGAGAGGCTCCCATCCATCCTGTGGCACACAGCCATGGGGGTCTGCAGGAGGTGTTTCCCCCCCAGGCCTGTCCTGGAGAGGGTTTCTGCACTCCTTCCTCAGCTGGTTTATCCTTTGCTTGGCTGGAGGGGCTCTGTGTGTGGTGTCTCTGGTGAGTGTTTGGCTGTAGAATCTGTCTGCTCTGAGATCTCCAGTGCCTGCCCTGGAGCCTTCCCTGCTGCCATGGCTGAAGGGGACACCTAGGGTCAGAGCTGCCTTGCTTTGCCACCAGTACCTTCCTGTGTGCAGGCTGGGAGTGCCTGTTCAGCATTGCAGGGCTGAGTGGCCATCCTGAGCCGTGGAGGGAGGGAGCTGCTGCTGGGGCATTGCTGTTCTGAGGCGGGGGTTTGAAGGGAGGAGAGTCCTGATTTAGGAACAGCATTCTCCAATCAAGTGCTCCCACTAAAACCGTGCACCACTCACCCCATCCCCAGCAGGGTGGAGAGGGGAACTGCAGGCATAAAAGATGAAGATCACAGGTTGAGATAAGAGCAATTTAAGAGCTGGAAAGAGCAGTGAGATAAAAAGCAAACAGTAAAACAGCAACAATATTAATAACAGAAGCATACAACAGAGAGAATGATTCACATGCAGAGTGCACACCCTGACCTGCCTGCAGCCATGTTCTACTGACCTGAGTAGACCTCTCCTCTGAGGAGAAGAAATGGATCTTGCTCCTGTGTATCTCCATGGCATCAGCACATTGTGAGTAAAGCCTTACACTCTTGTGGGTCTGCTGTGCCAGCCTGGGATCCACACAGCCCAGCAGAGCCCAGTGCTGCTCTCCACACCTGGCTGCAGGCAGGGCCCCTCTGGTTCTTGTCAGGGTTCTCACTGCTCACTGCCTGCAGATGTGAAGGTGCATTCAGGAGGATCAGAAGTGATATGAGCCCTTTTATTCTGAGTACATGCCCACTGGAAGCTGGGCTGGCATTTATCCCTGAAGAATTTCCTGCTGCTGTTGTTTTTCCTCTCAACTCACACAGCCATGCTTCTGGGGCAGAGGTGGGTTTTCCTTCCCACTTCCTCTTGTCCTCTCTGTGCTCTTGCAGGTAAAACCATAGGATGCCTTGTGATGTGTCCCCTCTCTCTCAGGAGAGGGCCAGTTGCTCCCAGCAGCAGAGGCTCTGGGCTGTACTGGTGTGACAGGGGACATTTCCTCAGTCCATGGGCTGGTCCAGTCTTAGACAGTCTTTTAACACAGCTGAGACACAGGTTGGTAGGAAGGAAAAACAATGATCTTCATCATCAGAGTTGGGGAGTCACCTTTAACACTGATTGTTCTCCTTCCTTTCAGATCCCTGAATAACCTCCCTAGAAATCTTTTTTGACTCCAAAGATTATGTGGACTGCACTAAGGAGACCTGGCAAAAATATGATTTCCTTAACATCCAAAGGGAATTCAGAACTTCAAAAGCTCCTTTTAACAGACCTCAAGGGGGAAAACTGGGTGAAAGACTGGGGAAAATCATCCACATCAGTGCCAGTGAGGCTGTGCTCTGTACACCTCCTGCCACATGGATGGTGTGCCCTGGACTCATCTGCATCTGCAGGGCACTGCTGCTGGTTTGAATCCCTGGGGATCTCTCTAACACAGCCAGTTCCCTCAGGGACTGGGCACTTTGTCCGTGCTGTTCCACCTGCTTGGCTGCAGTGCTCCATCATCCCTGAGGGAATACCTTTCCCTCACGCTTGGCAGGAGGTGCCTGCAGAGGCTGAAAGTGTCTGTGCTCTGCCCAGTCCCCTTGCCAGTGCCCAGGTCCCAGGACAGGGATCCCAGTTCCTTCCCTTCCATCTGGTTCCACAGCATGACTGCAGCAGTGGGGTCACCAGGGGCTCAACCCCCTGGCAGCTGAAACCTCTTCACATCTCAGCTCACTGGGGGTAGGGATGGGTGGTTATCTCCAGCCCTGCCTCTTCCTCCTGGTGTGAGGGCCCTGCTTGCTCTTCATCCCTCTGTACAAACTGATTTGCTCTGGGATTTCTGTGTGGGGGTGACTGCTGCCAGCACGGGTTGTTCCTGTGGTTCAGGGACAGCTTCAGTGTCCCTGTGGTTCAGCTGCAGCTTGAGTGACCACGGTGCCTGCTGCTCTGCCTTCCTCCTCCTGCCCTGAGGGTGCTGCCTGGTGAGCAGCAGTGTCTGATGAATGCTCACCAGGGCCCAGCACACTGCAGTGGGGCTCCTGGCTGGAACTGCCACAGCATTCTCCTTGCAAGTGCTCTGTTACTTTTACAGCATCTTGTACTTGTTCCTGCAACTTCCCAATCATTGCAGGAGAGAATTTCTTCCAAAAGTGGCCCATTTTCTCCCAGGCTCATTCCAGTCATGACTACTCTCCATCAGGATAGAATAACCTCCTTAGAAATCTTTCTTTACTCCAAAGAGTATGTGGATTGCACTAAGGAGACCTGACAAAAATATGATTTCCTTAACAGCCAAAGGGAATTCAGAGCTTCAAAAGCTGTTTTAACAGGCCTCAAGGGGGAAAGTGGGTGAAAATCTGGGGAAAATCATCCTCCCCTGTTTCTCCATGGGTTGGTCATTATTGTTATTAATGGACTCCCAAAGGAAGTGCCCCAGGTAAGGGTAGAAGAACAACACTCAAGACATATCCCTCACTGCCCTTGATGTTATCATGTCATAAACTAATCCTGATCCCCCTCCCTGCTCTGAGACAGAGACTGTGATGGGAGCAGACAGAATTATGTACAGGGTTAGGTACCCACATGGGCAGAGCAGGCAACACTGTCACCAGTGCCTCAGTACCTAATGTTTAGGTGATCAAAAATGTTTAGATCAAATTTGCTTCAGCCCACTCTGGGCAGATCTGTTGTTATCTCAACTGTTCAAGCCCTTCCTTGGATGCTAAGAAAAAAAAAAGCTGTTGTGGTTTAGGACTGGTATTCCCCAAATCAGTGTTCCCACTACAACTGTGTGCTGCCACAATCCCCACCTCCTTCCTTCCCTGTGGTAGGATGGAGAGAAGAACTGGAGGCACAAAAGGTAAAAAAATCACAGGTAGTTGACAGGAACAATTGACTGGAAACAGCAATGAGATAAGAAAAATTAACAGCAACAATATTAATAGCAAACATGCAACAATATGAATAACAAAAGTGTACAAAAGAGAGCAAATCACATGCAAATGCTCACCACGGTGTTACCCTGAGTGGAAGAGATCCCTTCTCCCTGGAAGAGAGTCCCTGCCCCAGCAATGATGTGAGATGTCTAAAAGAACCTCTGGGCTCTGGCCATGTCCCCTCCTGGCTCCTGCAAAAATTAACTCTGTCCTGGCTGGAACCAGGCCAGGGCTGACTGTGATCCCACAGCTCTGTGTGTGTGTGTGTGTGTGTGTGTGTAGGTCCTGGTACCTGTGTGGGTTGATGTTTCTCATGCAGAAGAGCATTTTTTGGGTGTTGATCTGGTTTAGCTACCTCACGGTGCAAGCTGGGTGCTGTCATCATTGGATTTCCTACTGGGGATGGGGTGGGGAGTTTGTGGTGTAAGGCTTTTTATTTTTTTCTCTTAATTATTGTTATTGTTATGGTTTTGACACTTGAATTCATTCTGGGGACACGTGGCCTCGCTCCCACCTTGCTGCATGTCTGAGCCAGCCCGTGTTCCCCTCCCTGCCTCCTCCTGGCAGGGAGCAGGGCTGGGGTCCTGCCCTGCCAGCTCCCCTTTGCAGTGGGATCCCCCAGAGCAGTTGCAACACCGAGATTTTGCTCCCATTTCTCGTGGGGTTCCTGGTCTGAGGATCTGTGGTGTTGCCAGTGGTGATTGGCTTGGTTGGCAGCCTGGATGTCCCATCTGGTCCCATGGAAAGGGGGCTCTGGAAGGCTCAGCTCAGCCCAAATTTCTCTCACAGATCTCTGTGGATGTGATGAAGCTCTGGGCTGGGAGATGTCTGCAGAGCACATTGCTGGAGTGGGCTGCTTCCAGCCACCTCTGCCAGAGGCTGCTGCAGGGCAGCAGGGCCTGGGTGCTGTGAAAGCCTCTGCCCAAGCTGGGGATGGTCTGTGAGGAGCTGATGCTGCTGTGTGATGTTTGACTTCTCACTCCCCAAAGTGTAGTTGTGTCAGGATTCAGTGCCAGGCACTGAACACGAGCAGGGGGAGCCCTGGGGCCCCCAGCTCAGGCTGGCACTGCCCTGGCACAGTGGGGTCAGGAGCTCTGAGCCACACGGGCAGTTTGGCGTGCAGGTCCTCCCAAACACTAAAGCACAAGGTCCCACATGCAGGTGGCTCCAGGAGGGGTGGCCCCTTGGACCCTGGCCCTCCAGAGCTCTGCTGGGACCATGGGCTGAGACAGGAGGAGGAGGAGGACTGGGATGAAGGCTCCTTGCCTGTGGGTGAGCTGTTCCATCCCTGTAGCTCAGGGGCCTGGCTGCACACCTGAAGTCCCCTCTGGTGGTCTCAGAGCCCCTCTGAGAGCCCCTCCAGGGCAGGGACACTTTGGAGCTGCCTTTGTACCACGCACCTCATTTTTCTCTGCCCTTGGGCACCTCGGTTGGTGACAAGGGTGTGATCATACCTGCACTCCTGCCTCAGGTTGCTGGGTTATGCTTCTTTCCCAGGGCCTAACTCTTGCTCTGGGGGTCTCCTCACCCCCAGCAACAGCTCCAGTCTCTGTGGAGGGAGCAGGGCTGCCCCAGAGCTGGGCTTTGCACAGGCCAGAGTCAAGAGCCTAAAAGCACTGGACCCCCACAGCACTGTGAGCCCTCCTGAGCAGTGTCCCCTTCCTGTCACCTGCAGCTCTGGTGACACGGGCTGGGCTGGTCAGCTGCGAGGAATGGGAGCTCTGGGGTCCCATCCTGTCCCCCCCAGGCGTGTTGTTCCTCCCCACCAGCTCTGAGCACAGCTGCTTTGGGGTCTCAATTGCTGCCTCCTGCCTTGGTGCTGCAGACTCAGTGCCTGCTTCCCACGGTGCTCTCCCAGTGCCCCAAACCAGTCCTGCCAGTGCCCCTCACCAGTCCTTCCTGTGCCCCTCACCAGTCCTTCCAGTGCCCCTCACCAGTCCTTCCTGTGACCAGTCCTTCCAGTGCCCCTCACCAGTCCTTCCTGTGCCCCACACCAGTCCTTCCAGTGCCCCTCACCAGTCCTTCCTGTGACCAGTCCTTCCAGTGCTCCTCACCAGTCCTTCCAGTGCCCCTCACCAGTCCTTCCTGTGCCCCTCACCAGTCCTTCCAGTGCTCCTCACCAGTCCTGCCCATGCTCCTCACCAGTCCTGCCCATGCCCCACACTGAAGAGGGTCCCGGTACGATCCCTGCCAAGCACAGAGCTCCAGTTTGCTCTCCACAGGCTCCCTGGAGCTTCACTCTGTCCTGCAGGCTGCACGTCCATCTGAGCCCCCCTCACCCTTCTGGGAAGGGCCGAGGACCCCCAGCCCCTCCAGGTGCTGCATGGTGCTCCAGCTGTGACTGGGACAGACCCATCCCAGAAAAGCTCAGCCCTGCACCTTCCTCCTGCCCCAGGGCTCGTCCCCTCACCCAGCACAGCTCTGGTTCCTACAACTGCTCCTCGTGGCCTGGGAGCCCCGGGTGCAGCCCCACGCCAGGCTGGGGCAGCTGCAGCACTGTGTCCCTGCTCCACCTCTCCTTTCTGCACAAGGAGCACAACAGCAGATGCCTTTTCACACCCGGGGCTTTTCCCAGAGGCCAGCTGCCCTGGAGGCTGGCGTTGTCTGTGTGGGGGTTGTGCAGCCCGGCCCTGGCTGGGTTTGTCAGAGCATGAGGGGTGTGTGTGTGTGTTTTCTACCGTGGTGTGTTCCTGTAAATAGTGTAAGTTATTGTGCTCTCCTGCTGTACGTTTTTCAATGGCTGTTTGTTTCTTGCCTTTTTGTCTTTGCAAATAAAATGTTCTTGACATGAAGGGACGGAGTACAGAGGTGGCTTTGAGGAGGGAAAGGGCACGGCCAGGAGCCTCCCATGCCCTCCTGTGCCCATGAGCCTGGTCCAGGGGCTGGGGGATAAATGGGGAGGGGGGACTGTGGCTGCATCCCTTCTGGATGGAGTGGAAAGTGTCCCTCCCCATGATGGGGGATTACACATGGTGGCCCTTAAAGGTCCCTTCCACCCCAGACCATTCTGTGATTCTATAATGCTGTTGGCTGGGAGAAGATTGGACAAGAGGAAACAGCCTCAAGTTGTTCCAGGGGAGGTTCAGGTTGGATATTGGGGGAAATTTCTGCACGAAGATGGTGCTCAGGCCTTGGCACAGACTGCCCAGGGCAGTGGTGGAGTCACCATCCCTGGAAGTGGTCAAAAGACCTGTGGATGTGGCACTTGGGGACACGGTTCCATGGTGAACGTGGCAGTGCTGGGGGAGTGGTTGGACTCAATCATCTTGGATGGCTTTTGTAAACAAACATTTCCATGATGCTCAGGTGACCTGGACCCCTGTAGGCAGCAGGTCCTCAGGCAGACGGGGCAGAACTGACCTTAGTGGGGGCAGATTGAGGGGCTGAGGTGGTGCAAGGGGCTCAGGGGCTGCCCCTCTCCTGGTGAGGAGGAGGAGGAGGGTGCCCACCAGGCAGTGCCAACCCCTGCAGGAGTCAGAGCATCCCTGAGCCTGCAGCATAGGGAAGGGAAGGGAAGGGAAGGGAAGGGAAGGGAAGGGAAGGGAAGGGAAGGCGCAGTGGCGCGGGGCCGCCGGCAGGGGGCAGCGCTGGCTGCAGCACCGCGGAGCGCGGGAGGGACACGGGGGGGGGTGCGGAGTTGCGGGGTCCCACCGGGGATGGGGGGTCCTGCCGGGGATGCGGGGTCCCACCGGGGGCTCAGGGTGGTCTGTGGCACACAGCTCTGCCAGGCAGCCCCCGGGTTGCCCGGGGAGCTGCTGGGGTGCGGTGCAGTGTCCTGCGGGATGGGGGGATGTTGGGGTCCTGCAGGTAGGGGATTTGGGGGCGATGCTGGGAGGGGGCCCCGCCGCTGCGGGCTGTCGCGTGGGGCACGTGTGACACGGTGTCACCGCGCGGTGCCCCCCGAGGGGACTGATGCCGGAGCCCAGCGGCGCTGGGCAGCCAGCCGCCTGCAGGCTGGGGAGGGGGACAGCGACCTGTGCCTGCAGCCCCTGGGGCCGGGCTCAGCTCCTGCAGCCCCCATTTCCCTTTGCCAGCCAGCCTCGGGCTGTGCTCCCGCAGCCCTGCCCTGCCTGGGCACCGCTGCCCTGACACCGGGGTCACAGCCCGGCCCCAAACGTGCCCGCAGTGCTGGGCCGAGCAATGCCAGGCCAGCGGATGCGCAGTGCCCACAGGTGTCCCAGCCCCCAGCACCATGCCCTGTGTCACCCTCAGCCTGTGACAGGGCTGTCACCTTGGCGTGAGCCTCCATGGTGCTGCCAGGGCCAGTGGCAGCCCTGGGCTACAAACGTGGGGTGTCATGGGCCCAACTCCCCCTGGCAGGGCAGGTGACATCGCTCCTGCTCCTGCCTGGTGCCTCAGCCACTCGTGGCACCACAGACACTTTTTATTGCCAGTCACCATGTCACCATGTCACACTCATGCCACACTCTTTCTTGCTGCAGCAAGATGCCCAGCCTGGCTGGCAGCGACCTGTGCCCTGCACCCCACATGCCTGAAGGTGCACTGGGCCAGCAGCAAGGGGACAGCAGGGACACAGCCTGGGAGCTGCTGCAATGAGATGTGGCAGCCCTGTGCCACCCATCCTCAGGCTGAGGGAGGAATGGCTCTGAGCCCACCAGGGCTGTGGCTGCTTCTGGGTAGGGGAGGGTCCCGTTCTGCACCTTGCTGTGCCCCACGGCTTTAGGGAGGCCTTGGGGACACCTGAGGAGAGGTTTATGCCCTCCCAAGCTCCCAGCACAGTGCTGCAGCATCTCTGGGGAGTGCTGCCCATGGTGATGTCCCCAGGGGCCATCACAGGGCCCAGGCTGTGGCAGCTCAGAGGACAAAGGGGCAGGAAGGGCATTCCTGCAGGCAGGAGGGTCCCTGCGGGGGGCTGGGGAGGACAGGTCCTGCACTGGTCTCCTGATTCCCAGAGGAAAGGAAGGGGCAGGCTCAGGAGGGCACAGAGGGCTCCTGCTGTGCCAAGCACACATCAGAGGCTGAGGGTGTCACCCCCTGGGAGCCCCTCTGCCATGGTGGCACTGCCTGGGTTCATAGGCTGGCTGTGGTGCCTCCCTGAGGTCAGTCTGCAGGGAAGGGCCAGCTGGACAGGGGTGCTCAGGGTGGTCTGTGCCACACAGCCCTGCCAGGGGCAGAGCTGTGGGTGGGTGGGCTGTGCACGGCCCGGGCAGGAGATTCCCAAATGCCACAGGGCCACCTCACCACCCCTTGGCTGGTGGCCCAGGGGATGGCGAAATTTTGGCACGTCCCACCCTGCTCCAGGGACACCTGCAGTGTCGCGGTGGGTGGGAAAACCTTCCCCAGGGGCAGCTTTCCAGCCACAGGCATGGCACCCAGTGGGCAGCCAGCTCCCCGGGCACAGGGCAGCCCTGGCTCCATCCCTGGCTGGGGGCAGGGCCAGGCTCTGGGTCTCTTTCCCTGCTGGCCCTGGCTTGCCCTGCAGCAGTGACAGACCCCCATCCCTGGCAGGGGATGTCCCTGTGGGAACAGAAGGGCCTGGCAGCACCAGCTCTCATGAGTGTGCTGAGGGGGAATGAAGCTGGGGTGGGTGATAGCTGGGGCACCCGGTGCCTCCTGGCTGGCACACTGGCCCTGCCTGCCCCGGGGCCTGGGGGATGTGACACAGGGGACAGGACATGAGCCACCCTACCCTTGCTGGTCCATGTGCCAGGCTGGAGTATCCATGTTTGCAACAGCCTGTCAGCACAGTGTCACAGGAGATGGTTTGCTGCCAGGTTTGGAGTGATAAGGACCCTGAAGTGACAAGGAGGCAGCAGTGTGATATCGGGGTCTGCTCTGCTCCCAGGATTGCCTCAGTCTGCACATGGTGTGGATGTGGCTGGCTCGGCAAAGAACCAGAACCAGGCAAAGGGGTGCCCCAGCTTTGGCTGGCACTGGCCTGGCACAGGCCTCCCTTGCCAGCACAGGGCTGAACCCAGCAGGAATAAACCTCAGGTACCCTGCCCAAGGCCAGAGAGGCAAGAGCCACCAAAGGTACTTCCCCAAATGCATCCCACCACCCTGCCTTGTCCCTCGGCACATTCCCTGGTGAGTGTGCGTGCCTGCCGGTGCCAGGCGTGTGTGACATGGCAGGGCATGGGCTGTCACAGCTCTGCAGCCTCTCCCAGACCTCCCCCAGGCAAAAATCGACCCATTCTGACAGACAGAGCAGCAGTTCTCAGGCCTGGTCTCTGCTGTACCCCCACAAAAACCACCAGTCCCCACCTGAGCCCTGCTCCCAGCCCGTGCCCTGTCCCCAGCACTTGTCCCGCTTGTCACTGAGACCCTCTTCCTGCTCTGGGAAATCTGTGCCACCCAAGGCTGTGCTCCAGGCACGGCCGGGGCACTGCAGCTGCTGGCTGCCAGGCCGGCTGTCCCCTGGCCAGGTGTGTGCCCGGGGCAGTGTCCCGGCTCCAGTGCCCAGGCAAACCCGGGCAGGGACCCCCGGGCCCCAGGACCCACCCCGACCCCAGCCAGGGGCGGCTCGGGCTGCAGGAGCCGCGTGAACCTGCTGCTGTGAGCAAACAAACACGGGCCTGGCGAGAAACCAGCCCGTGAAGGCAGTGTGGGTGAAACTCTGGGCACCGGTGGGGCACGGGCTCTGACAATGATTAAACTGGCCAGCCCAGATTTCCCGGCAAGGCAGCGCAGGGCTGGGACCCGGTGGTTCATATTATGCAAATCACCTGGATCTGGGAGCATGAACGTTTGGGGCTGGAATTCCCCTCGGGCTGCCAGATTGTTACGCCGCCCAAGCTATAAAAGCAGAGGCGCGGGCAGGGCTTGCCCATCGGCACCAGCCTCCCGGGGCCCATGAGCAGTGGCTAGTGCCAGCCCGGGCTCCCTCCCTGCCCCGGCTCCTCTCTGGATTACCCGCCGCTGCTGGAGTTGCCACCACAGAAGGTACCAAAGCTTTTTTTGCCGAGGCCTGTTGACGTCCCCGAGGCCAGGACGGCCGCCTTGCTCTCCTCCCCGTGCACCTTGGCTCTCAGCGGGGGATGCGCTCCGGCCTTGCCTCACTGCGCCTTTGGCTCTCCCTGCGCCGCTGGCAGTGAGGGCCCTGCGGGGCCCAGCGGGACAGCAGCTCCCCTCCAGCCCCCCGGCTTGGTAATGGACAGCACGAGCTGGCTTTTTGTGAGGGCCGGGCAGGGCTCGGTGCCCTCCCGGCTGCAGGGATCGGGATGTGCTCGTTGTGGCCGCTGGAGAGGAGCGGAGCTGTGGCACAGCAGCGGGGCCGGGGGCTCAGGAGCGGCCGAGTGCCCAAACCGCCGCCCACGGCGGGGCTGTGTGTCACCGTTCGCCTTCTTGCTGTCACCTCCTGCTGGCTGGCAGCAGGGCGAGGCCCGGCTGCTGGGGACAGGGCTGTTCACGAGCAGGGTGACGCCACGTCCCCAGCTCGCTCGGGCTCAGCCTCCCTCTGTGCTGGCCCCCGAGGAGCTGTGAGTCAGCCCCAGCCCCAGCCAGCAGGTGCTGGGTGCATATTTCTGCACAAGTGACCCGAGAGGTGACGATGGGTGGAGGGAGAGGCAGCCCCACCTCGCCCAGCCTGGCTCTGGGCTGCTGCAGGTGCTGGGGGCCCGGGCTCACTGTCATCTCTCGGCACAGAGCTCCATGGCAGGATCTTGTGAGATCAGCAACATCTTCTCCAACTACATCAGCGCCATGTACCAGCCCGACGAGGTGCAGCCAAGCTTGGACATGCTGGGACAGCTTGGGGATGACAGCAACCTGGGGCTTAGCCTCCCGGCCAGCCAGCCCCCAGCACAGAGCACAGGTAGGAGCAGGGGAGTGG